CAAGTGAAACCATACCTGCACCCTCCTATCCGTCAGTGAACCCATACCTGCATCTCAACCGTCCATCAGTGAAGCCATACTGCATCTCATCTATCCATCAGTGAACCCATACATACATCTCAACTATCCATCAGTGAACCCATACGTACATCTCAACCATTCATCAGTGAACCCAAACCTGTATCTCAGCCATCTACAAGTGAAACCATACCTGCACCCCTCCTATCCGTCAGTGAACCCATACCTGCATCTCAACCGTCCATCAGTGAACCCATACCTGCATCTCAACCATTCATCAGTGAACCCATACCTACATCTCAACCGTCCATCAGTGAACCCATACCTGCATCTCAACCGTCCATCAGTGAACCCATACCTGCATCTCAACCATTTATCAGTGAACCCATACCTGCATCTCAACCATTCATCAGTGAACCCAAACCGGTATCTCTGCCATCTACAAGTAAACCCATACCTGCATCCCTCCTATCCGTCAGTGAAACCATACCTACATATCAAGTGTCCACCAGTGAACCCATACCTGCATCTCAGCCATCCACAAGTGAACCCATACCTACATCTCTACCGTCCACCAGTGAACCTACCTCTTGTCCTTCCGCCAGTGAACCCACACAGGTATCTCAGTCAGCCAATGAACCTATACCTGTATTAATCTGTCCTATATGCAACAAAGAGAAGGCCCCACACCAGAGGAAAACAAAGACTGACTGGATTTCTTGCATGCACTGTGATGTGAAGCATCACCAGAAGTGTGCCAAAATAAAAGGAAAGAAAAAAAAGTTCTTGTGTCATAATTGTTCACTGTTGACTGTTTTGTTCACTTGCTGATATATTAAAATATTACTAACATTCTCACATACTTTACCTCAGTCATAAAATAAAACAAGTTGCAACTTTCTAAACTTTTATTTTATGCAATAAACAAGAAAATGAAACATGCTGTTCTCTGTGTACATTTGTAAAAAAACAAGTCACAGTTCATCAGATTGTAGTACAGTGAACCTGTCTAACCCAAACTAAGGGATTGAGAAAACTGTTCACTTTACACTTTGTTAAACATGAAAACCTATTTAGAAGGCAATTTTAAATTGTTTGGTTTTACTGTACAGTACAAACCCAATTTATCTGATATGCCCTGGATATCAAAGTGGCATAACTCCATGACTGATTCATGTGATATCCATCCAGTCCATATACCATATTTTTTTTATTAGAATGGACCTCCAATACCTCCAATAGGCATACATGAAAATTGTGCCTTCTTCTATTGTAATAACAATGTATTTCACATTTACCAAAAACACTTGTTAAATGCACATACACTTCTAATATAAAAAATATGGTACAGCATTTCTTGTATTTGAATACAGAGGTGATACAAGCTCAAAATATTTTTGCAAAGCTGTTTATTGGAAGTGTACCTTATTTCCCCTATAAGTAGTGCCAGTGCTTACATGAATACACCAAGTTCAAGGAATCAAAACCAAGAAAAACATAGCTGCTATTCTAATGGTGTTTGTGCGACATTCCCTTGTAATTTATAAGGAATTTTTCTGCCAGTGGTCATACTTATTGCACTGTGGGAAATGTATACAATCTTAGAATGGGACAAACATGTAGAATGTCATGACTGTCACACTCTAAAATATACAAAAACAACTATTTTTGGGGGGCTTGTATGCACATCTTGTATTTCATCTTTTCCAACAATTTTTAATTAGAATAGGGAAATACAGTAACTGTAGCTCAATCATTTTCTTCACAGAGTTCCAAATTACACTCTTCCTGCTCAAGCAGGGTACATATTTCATTATATAAATTAATATAGTCAGACTTTTTAGATCTTTTGATCTCGTTACTCCATTCAGAACTGTATATTTCTTTCAGAGAGGTATCTGATATACAATCTAATTTTGCCAACACAAGTTGTTCAATGACACTCTTAGTCTGATTGTTGATATCATGATATTTACTAGACTCAGCTACAGTGACAAATACAGGGTAATTGTCACTTCGGTCATCTGAAACTGGCTTTCCAAGAAATTTCAATTCTATGAATTTGTTTCTTTTTTGCATTGCCAAAGAGGTAAACTTTACAAGATTGCTATCCAGTGGATTACCATCCACACTTACATGCGGTCTGTTTACAAATGGGTCCAGACAGTATTTTGCATTTCTCAGATAGCTTCGCCAGGCATTTATTTCATTAATTTGACTGGGACGTTTACCACTCTTTCCACTGGAAGGGTCAGAGATACCCATATTTTGAAATGTGGCTATTCTGAGCTTGTACAATTTGCTTGAATTTCGAAAAATGTTTATCCACATCTGTGTGTCTGGCATACCAGTGATCCATGATTTACTCAATTTGTTAAAATTCTCTAGTACAAAATCTAAACCTTCACCTTTACTGGGATCACCGGAGACAGATACAGACTCACACCTATTGAAAAAGTTACCAAGTTCACTTTGATACAGTAACCTGTCTGCCATATCAGCAATGTCAATAAATCTGTATTTGGGGTGCACCCTAGCATGAAAGACTGGGGAATATTTACATCTGGCTGCATTCATTAAATCCACATTATTGCGTCTCACACCAGCACGGTAATTTACCACTGCTTGACAATATGTGAAGCATTGTTCTGCTAAATACATATAATTTGGATCTTTTACTTCATTTAAAAATCTGAAGAACCCCTTTACAGATGCATCAAAACCCTTTTCCATACACTTTCTTACATAGGGTATCAAAAGCTCATCTGTGGTTCCATCAAAAAAAATTTCTAATAATGCCCATGATTTGTGGTTGTCTGAACATTTCTTTGCATATTTCTGGGCCCTTTCTGATTTAAACCCCATCATCTCAACTAGTGAACACATGAAAACCTCCCAATTTAGCTCAAAAAATGATTTTGTCATGTTCATTTCCATGTGCCTAGGGCCAATTCGCAGCAAAACCCAGTCAAATTCTAACACAAAGTCTCTATGTTCACTATTGTGAGCTACAATACAGTGCTTCACAAATTCATCATTGCCAAAAAAGGACTCTGAACACAGAACACATTTGTGTACACTGCGAATAACTTTATGTGCAAGCATGTACGGAAGCCCATCCATATATACAGCTAGCCAATATCTAGAACCTGTTCCATAAGTTTTAATTCCAGCAGTGGTACCAATTTGTCTGAGAACTGTTACAATGGTTTTATGAGAATTTGGATTTACAAATACTGGATCCAGAACACCAACAGGTGGTGGTGAGGCAGGGTGGTTAGTGTTAACATGGTCATATCTGAATGAGCTACCACTCATGCTAGTGGGATTCATCAAAGTAAACTGTGGTTGAAAACAATCTTTACCTTCAACAGGCATAAAGTCTAGTCTGATTTCAGTTACTGTCTCTACCGAAACACTACTAGTATTCTGAACAGGGTGGCCACACGTCTCTAATAATCTCTCAGCAGCCTCCTTCATATTAACACTACAGTTTGGACATTTTCTTTTTGTTTTTTCCACCAAGGATGACAGATGGGCAGATTTGTGAGTGAGGCAGTACGTTTTTCATTACATTTCATCTATTT